TGTTTCATTTTGTCAAATGGTGCCTTTTTAACCACGAAGCCATTACAACATGCTCAAGAACCCGAGCTCAGACAGAAGTGAAAAAGGAACTGGATATGCCTTACATTTGAAAGCGGTTCGCAATTCTCAATGTTAATAAGAAGCATAAGAATTATTTAATTCTGAAGTCAGAAACATTTTAAAAAAAGAAAAGAAAATGTTCAAACATATGAAGAAAGAGGATTTGGTAACTGTTTTATTGGAAACTGGCAAAGAAGAAACTAAAGATTTGAAACTGGCCAAACTGAAACGCAAACTCCAGAATAGCAAGGAATGCATCAAAGATGCTGACTTTGTGAAGGAAATTCTGATTATTACAATTGAGAACAGAAAAAAAGAAGAAAGAAATGGAAAATGAGAATAGAAGAACTCGAATAAATGCAAATGGAATAAGAAAGATTGAGAATAGAAAGAGAACACGAAACTGAATCAGCCAAGATTTGAACAGCTCAAAATGGAGAAAGTAGAAGTCCGACACGTTCAATACAAAACACCAGTGGAGAAACCAAAATTTCCCTTGGAAGTTGATCAAAGGAGTAGAAATACTAACTATACTAGTACCAAAGATAGAAGAAGCATGATAGATTTTTCTATTCTGTCAAAACAGCATTTAAGCACAAGCAAGTTCCAGAGGAATTCAAAATGTAGATATTGAAACTAATTGAAAAAAAAGCTTCAGATATCTTCGTTTACATTAAGGAAGATCTGCAGAATTACAAAAAAAAAAAAAAAGAAAAAAAAAGAAAACTCTTATTCTAAAGGAATATCAGCCTACTAATTAAGCCTGTTTAGAAAATTCTGCTACAGCTAAAAGTTATTCTGGCGAAACGCATATCCAATTTGCTTCATAACTGAGCAGTCAACATGATACCATACCGAACCAGATTAGCCTAGGTTAAAGCTCAATTTATTTTGTAAATGCATGCTCCCACGTACTTAAGTAATAATTATTTGGGCAAAAATTATTTCAGAATTACTAAAATTGATTATTGTTTTCCATCATGGAATATTAGTTTTGTCACAGTAATGAATACATCACATTCTAAATAAAATTGTTAAGAATTGATTCTGCTGTTTTGATTTTCATCTCAGGTTATTAAAAAATTATTTTTTTAATATAATTAAATGTGTTGTCTATTATATGTTAAAACAAGTAGTTTATTAAACTTTTATTTAAATTTTAATATTCTAACGCACACCCATGAATAATTTTATATTTTGCTTATGAATAGTAAAATTTTGTGTCGAACATACATATATATGAACTAAAATAATATTTAAATCCCCCCCGGAACAAACAACCCCCCCCGGGGAAAAAAAGACTGCTTTGTCTAAAAGTGAGTCAAATCACTAAATAAAGTCAGAAAACATTACTTGGTGTCAGCCAGCTGTCATAGTGTCACACATAAAAACAATTTTTATTGTGTTTCCCCAACACAAAAGAAAAAACTTTAAAAATTTACTGATGTTTTTTTCGCACAAAAGGTCTTTATTCTAGAATGAAGTTATGAGATCTAGTGGTTATTTAATATATACAACTAAAATTAATATTAGGAGATAATATAACCAATATTTTAGTAAATAAATTATTATTATCTTACTTTGCAGCTATTGTGCAAGTATTAGAATAACTTGTTTTCGAACTAAGTGAATTTAAGATCATACAATATGCATATATATATATATATATAATGAAACTGGTTATTTTATTCTATTTTGATTATCTTTGATATCGTATTTTGTATTTCTAAATTTGTTTTCACATAAATGATTCACTATTTAAAGTGCATTTGGAAGAAAATATCAGTTTTAAAATTAGTGAAATTAACTAAATTAATTATAACAAACCTCAAGTAGAGAGAGAGATCATATTTTAACTAAAGTTAAGGGTAACTTTAAGGAAGTATTAATAAGAAATTAGGTTTTCCTTACTAAATTTTTCAAGACTGAGGTTTATTTAAAATCAAACCATGGCTTTTATGGGACATGAGAGGAGGATTTGTTAGTGTTAACTGCTGAATTAGAAATTCCAATGGATCCAAGTATGAAAATTGTAGCAATAAAAAATAAAATTGTTCAAAGTGACACATACAATGAGCATTTGCTAAAGAAATATTTTTAATGATTGTTGAAGAGAGGAAAAGAAACAAAACTGTGAAGGCAAGAACAGATTGAGGAACAGAGAAGGAAAGCGGAGAAAAGAAGAATTAGACACGCAGCAAAAAAGAGAGGAAATAGAATTTGAATTGAAGAAACTCTAAATCGAATCTTGTACTCGACTAACACAAATTCCACTGACAAATGAAAGCAGACAACACAATTTCGATTTAATTAAGCTTATTACTACATTCAACTTAAGAGAAGATGATATTATGATTTATTTATCCTTATTTAACAGACAAGCTAAAAGAACGAAGATTGATCCTAAAGACTCGGTATCATGTTTATTGACTTTAATGCCATCTGAAATAATTCAACTAGTTGGTAGAGAACCTTAAGAAATTTTGAAGATTATGAGTACATTAAGGCTATCCTTATTGAAGAGATTTAAATTAAATCCTGAAAGCCACATGGGGTTATTATTGTAAAAAAATAAAGTAAAAGATTGTGAAACTGTTGGGTGGAGGCGAGCAAACTTTTTTCCTATGTGTATACATATTGATTACAGGGAGCACAGCGGTTGCGACTACCGACACATACTTCATGCGAGTGTGCTCTCTGTAAAGGCTGCTGTGTTGCTGTTTGATATATTATGTAATTTAATGTGTGCTCTATTCATCTGTTTTCTGTCCAAAATTGTCCCAAATTTTATAGATCCTTTATTGTGTGTATGAGACTCTGAACAACAAAATGGTAGCAGAGCATGGTTGTGCCAAGAAGTATTGGATGTAAATAAAAATGTAAGTGATTTTAAGAGGGAATCAAAACTGTTCTTATTGAAAGTCAAAAATGGAGAAGTTGAACATTCCCAAACTAACTGGAAATAATTATTTCATTTCGTCATTAAAACTTGAAGCTGTCATACATTTAAAAAGACTTGACTCAATGATTTCAAAACTAAAACAAGAAAACAAACTAAATTAAAACTTTCAGACAGCCGATTGAGGCAAAAGTTTGCCATGTGCCTATTTATTATAAGAATTATGGAAGTATTTTCTTTAATTTTGTGGATGCATTAATTGCAGTGACTGATAAGTTAATGTTCATTGTTTAATAACTCCAGAAATATATTAACAGTTGATTAATCCCGCTGGAGAAGAGTCAAACATAGCTATTTTGGAAAGTAATAATTCCAAAGATTAAAACGTGTAGATTATGTTTGCCGTGACGCAAACAAACAAGGATGCACGATTCACAAAAAGAATTCATTTTCCGTTTTAGCTGGAACACAAGCTAATCCTTTCACAAGACAAAACTTGTCCCTATATTAGCCTTCAAAGCATGCTAAAACTAAACTACAGAAGCCAGCCTATTTCTCAGGCTTCAAGCCAACAGATTACCATCTCTTTCTGGTATTGGATAATTTTTCCCCTGTGGTCAAACTAACTATTTTAACTTTCCTGATGAAGAAACAGTTAACAAAAAGAGTTGTAACCTTGAACAAAATATTCACATTTCATACAAGTGCTATAAAGTGGCAACATAACTCTGTGATCATTTATAAAAGAAAAGAGGGAAAAAATATCTGCCTTTCAAACACCTTATGTTCAAAGTCCATATTATTTTAAGAAAATGTTATACTGCTTTTTTTTTTTTTTTTTTTTTTGGCTTATGCTATATTCTTCCCATGTACAACTATGTTTGCTTAAAAAATATAAGAGAACTGCCTAAATTCGGCATTAGTGTAAAATTCAATCGTTTACAAATTATAACTTCATGGAATTTGAATTCTCCTTTCTTCTTGCTTTTAAGCAAGAAGAAAGGAAATGAGGACTTTGGCTCTTTATCTAGTTCTGGGCATATAAGAAAATGAAGTATTCATGATGCCCAAATGGCAAATTTGGCATATACTAAATGGAAGGATGCCAATTTTAGGCTTTACTACGAGTCACCTTAGCCATAACTGTTACTCATTTAGCATCACCCAGGAAGCACATGTGAATTAAGGATATCATGGATGTGAGTAACATTGCCTCCCACTTGTTTAAATTTGTTGTTATTGTTCAAACTATTCCTAATTTTCTTGTTGAAATTGCTCCATAATGTGCAAATTTCAAATGTTGCAAAGTCTTAGGCAAAGGAAACAATTTGAAATTTGTATATTACAGACTGGATAATGAAATTTGCTAATTTTTTAATAAGAAATTACCTTACTCACTTTGGGAGTTGATGTTTAATAAATTGAACTAATTAATACTAACTAACTTTAATTGAACTAATTAACTTTAATAAATTGAATTAATGTCCTTAAATAATACACTCATTGTTGCATTTTTCATTTTTGCACATTTAGAACCATTTTTGCATGCTTAATATTGTAAATCAACTAAATACATGCTAGAATTGTTCAGCTTAAAAAAGAAATGTTGATTACAACCAACTTCTACTTTTTTAAATAACTTATAACGATTAACGAACAAAATTTTGGTTAAAAAAATACATTTATATATTATTATTCAAATGATAAAATATGAAAGACAGTGTTAAAAAATACGTAGTAAATACAATTCCCACAGAAAGTACTAATGGAAGCTATTCCTGCCAATGACTATAAAATTAAATTTTTAACAGCATTTTCTACTTTTCCAATTCATATAATATCAAATTAGAAAATTATGCTTAGAACACTGGACACTGATTATTGTCCTTACACAATATACTCATTGTTGCATTTGTCTTTGTTAAATAACTGTGTTGACTTTTTCTAAATGCCCTCCTGCTTCTGAAATAAAACGACATGACTTATTCATACCAATTATTATATTCTAACAATCCATGAAATTTCGTAGCACAAAATTTACCTTAGAATATTTTCCAGTTCCTAATTCAGTACGAGTTGGTATGTCTTTTAAACTGACGGGCACTTTATCATTCACGCACGTTTCCTCTAAATTTCTTGTCCTCAAACACCCAAACCTAATGCTAAATGATTGAAATAGAATATACTTAGATAACTTCCAGTCTATCCCTTCTTTTTTATTATTTCATAAATAAAAAAGTCCTTAAAGAGAAAATATTCCAAATTCAGTCCAAATTGTATTCCTACTTGATATTTCTCGCGCTGTAGACTTCAAATTTGCCCGCGAAAGTTTACAGTTAAGCCAGCATTTAATTTTAATATTTCTTTACGCGAAACATAAAAATAGGTCAGATCATTTAAAATAGAATACTAAATAGTGATACCGTGGTTCTGTTGCTTTAGAAATGCGTGAAATTAAAAAATGGATACTATATAACAAAAATTTTATTATATTCAGATACACACCTCTTAAACAAGTCTAAAATTCAATATTCTGTTCAGCGTAATTTGTCTACATAAAATATTAAATAGTATTAAAAATCAAAAGATAAGTAGAAAGAGTCATTTCCTCTAAACCATTTTAATTCAAGAAAACAAGCGTTTGCCGTATCGTAAAGTGAACAGGAACACCTGCTTTTCGAGTAGCGGATGAAATGGGAAAGAGGGAATTGGTGGGGGAAGGCAGCGGACGAAGCGACACTTTTTCGAGAGACGGTACTGGTATTAAATTAATTGAGCAGAAGATCCTCATACCCTATCAGTTTGGGTTCAGGCGTAAGCACTCGACAACGCATCAACTCTACAGACTTGTTGAGTTAATAAGCAGTGGGATGCAACAACATCATGTCACTGGTGGACTTTTCTTAGATGTCGCCAAGGCCTTCGATAGAGTATGGCTGGATGCCCTCATATACAAATTACACAACCTGGGACTCCCAGGCTACATCACAAACATAATTAAATCCTACCTAACCGGTAGACACTTTGTCGTTCATGTTTCTGGTTCATTATCCACAAACCGGCCTATACGGGCTGGTGTTCCACAGGGATCCCTTCTGGGCCCTACCCTATTCAATATTTACGTGAACGACATCCCCACTACACACAACACAACACTAGCCATGTATGCAGACGACACAGCGATCCTTACGCAAAGTGCATTTGTTAGTTCAGCAATACAACAGCTACAACACCACATCCACTCGCTAGAGACTTGGCTGACCAAATGGAAAGTCAAAGTGAATGTCGACAAGACACATGCCATACTGTTTACTACTAAGAAGAATTTCCCGACTCACCTGCAAATGTATGGTGTGGACATTCCCTGGGTCAAGCAGGTCCCTTATCTTGGGGTGATCCTCAGTAAATCTCTTACATGGAACCCACACGTTACACATATTCTCAGGAAGTTTCGAGCTAGTAAAGCTTCACTCTTCCCCTTAATTGCTCGAAACAGTGTTCTATCTATTGATAATAAGTTGCTCATTTACAAAACCATGTTGCGTCCAATTCTTAGTTATGCATGCCCCGTCTGGGCATACTCGTGCAAAAGTTTGAGAAGGCAGTTACAAGCTGCCCAAAACGGGGTATTGCGTATGATATGTAATGCCCCCTGGTACATTCGGAATAGCCAAATTCGTAAAGAGTTAAGAATAGAGGATCTTTGTGATTTTTATTGCCGCCTATCTAGGGCATTTTATGATAAACAGGAACTTCTGGACAATCCTGTGGTTGTTAACTATTGTTATGATACTAGGGACCCCAATTTCAGTAAACGCCCAAGGGCGATCCTAAATGTTAGTAATGTGTAATTTTGTATATGTGTTATGCAAATTGTTGCTCAGATTCTTTATTGTATATTGTTCTTTTTTCCTCCTGATTGCTTTTTGTTTTTACTAGTGGCACTAAGGCGTCGCACTTCGTATTTTGTTTCTCTTGTGTGTACATGTATTCTTCTGTGAAATAGTTGTTAAAAAAATAGTTAATTATGTATGGATTAGTAATTAGGTACTTAAGGAAAAAAATATGTATTTAACTATTAGCAATTATGAATTTAAACTCTTGCTCATTTAATTATTTAGCACATTCAGTTATATTTCTCATAATTCGAAACTTTTATCATGTTATTCGATGAGGGGTAGGGCTATGGCGCCCAGGCCCCCTGGTGGTTAAGCACCGCAGTTCAATGTATGCAAACGACTTCCTTCACGACAGTACATGCGAAAATTACAAATGTATCCCGTTTTAGCTTCACACATCATTCTTATAAGTAAACCATACTTTATAATTTTTGATGCATTATAAACTTTAAATGACAAACGGCCCCTCCATGGCATGATGCTCTCATCCAGTGATAACTCTTTCTGTGGCTTATAAACCTCTTGAAATTTAGGTAAGAAGTAAGATATAATCGGTCGGATTTTTTTCAGGCGATCTCTGTCATCTCTGTCATCATTATTAGAGAAATGCCACGCATACCATATTGGTCTAAATCTATCCCTGCTCATTAATTCTGCGAAAATTGGAGTTTGGATAGTTTTATCTGTAAACCAATATTCGTCTCTTGTATCTTTACGAACTCGTCCCATTAGAAGAAGTGGTCCGAGCATTTTTTTTTAAATATACCATATTCACATCCTTCCACTTCACAGATTTTGTTCTGTCTCGCAAATGCATCTTGGGTTTTGTTCGCGAATACCGATTGGTTTCCGTTGCCATATATTCAAATAAGTCATCTCCAATAAACAGCTTAACCACATCTATTACACTTTCTGAATTATCTTAAATCATTACAGCTTTCACTTAATTGGCAAAAACACCCTCCCTTTGTCCGAGGAATGTTCAATAATTGGTACATTATCAGTTGTTGACCATTGTTGTTGTTGACTTTGACATATGTTGTTGACTTCATCGTCACTGTCTTCGGAGTCGCTAGATGATGGTATTGGCAAAACTCGATTTCTTCTAGGTCGAAATAATTCCTCGTCACTTTCACTGTCTAAATCAGGAAGTTTCGCGTCACTTGAAATCTGCGGCAAGTCATCTGCATATACATCAATATCACTATTAGAATCCATTGTCTTTGAATTGAAGGTGGTATCAACCGCCTGCACAATATCAACGTTACATGTATCTCTTCTACTAGCTGCTCCACTAAATAGACTTTAAACATACAACATCGCATAAAACGAATTTGTGGAAACACGTGGCTGCGAAGAATATTATTGGTTAAAATATAGATAGACGGAATTTTTTCAATCTCACTTTACCTTCTTTGAGACGTAGTCATAGATTTGATAAAACATTATGTTTCCCTTGTGTCACTTAAAATTACTTATTTTAAACGGGTACTAATACCTGTCCCGCATCTAAGTGGCAATCCTCGCAACAAGTACAAATACCTGTCCCGCTCATAATGTATTAAGTTATATAGCTGATTATTGCCTTTATTATACCTTTAAAAAATATCCATGCGAATTTTGTAAAGGGAACTTTTGTTATTGATAGGGAACTCAATATCCCTTCCGAATTTAATTTAATCAGAAAATTAGATAGGGGTGGCCTTTTGTATTCAATGCCTCATGTTTTAAATGTTGTTTTATGTAATTTTATTGTAGTACAAAAACTTGTATCTCAAGAGTTTGAAAGTAAGTTCTCAAAGAAATTTAGCTGTAAATTTAACTCTGAATGCTTTGATGTCGAATGAGGATTTGGATATTGAACCATGTGGTAAAAGGCCATTCCTTTGATCCCATAGCTGAAAACATAATCAAATCCTCTACAAACACGATGTTAAACAACTATTGTAAACAAAAAAATGATTTTAAAAAACCTGCTTGTAAAAAAAGGAAATTATCAACTTTGATAAAGTAAATAAAAAAGTAATTTACAGTTAGTCTTAAAAAGTATCTAACTTGTTTTAATAATAATGTCTAAAAATGCAACAAAAGTATATAAAAATTTAGTAGTAACTTCCTGAGCTTTAAAGACATGTCTGCAATTTTCTAATAGCTTCAAAACAGATTTTTTTTTCCATTCTAAATTTTTTAAGTCATAACTTATAGTCTGTTTTATGAACAGAGACATTATTACTTAATAATTTGCTACTACTTAATTCTGATTAAATAAATAATTTTTATAACCACTGAAGCAGTTCAAATCTCTAAATGCTATGCTATTCATTCGACTCATCATGGCAATATATGTTGTACCATAATTTATTTTTAATTATAATTTGCTCTTTATAGATAACTTTTACTCCAGTTCTTGTCAATGAATCCAAAAACTTTATTTCTTGTAATTTTTTTTTATTTCAAAACGAGCTATTTTTATCAATTATAATTTATGTTTTAAATTGTAATTTAAATGTTTTTCAGTTTTTGTACTTCTTATGAGATCACTGTAGAAAATGTGTATAAAATCCCACAAATCGAATAATTTTGAATTAATTCCACATTTTTTATCTTGCTTATTAAATCAGATCCTTTGCTTAAAACTAACTGTATGTTGCATTATTTTTTCCAAACTGTATTCATCTTTCTATTAGTTTTGTGATTCTGAGTAGTAGTTCGTATTCCTGTTTTTGTGAATAATAAAAAAAATTAGTTGCTGTTTCAGTGAAATGAATTTTTTGTTTAAAAATGCTTTTAAATTAGATTGTGTTATCAAAATAAAAGTTGTAAGTCTGACATTATTTAAAATATTTTAAATAAGGTGAAAGTATAGTTAATGTTTGAGAAAAATATATAATATAATTTTGATAATAATCATAACGCCTTTCAGAAAAAATTGTTTAACATTTGCTCTGCTGAAATGTAACTTTAATTGATTAGTAGTTATTTTAAAGAAAATTGGATTTAACTTTAAAAATCAAGATTGCAAGTGCTTTAAAGGAGGAAAGCAATTATTAATATATTAAAATAAACGTCAACAGTAAAAAAAAATAGATTGTCAGTTCTTTCCGAAACTATATGGTCTTTGCGCTACCGTAATTTCGATAGCCTAACTGGGATGACTCATAAGTGGAGCTTTCTGGCTTTGTAGTCTAGGTGTCGTTGACACTACTGAGCCTCCTAATTGAGCAGACTTTATCGCATTGAAAAAAGATGTCAGGTTCTTGAAAACACAAGTAAAATTACCAATTCAAATTCCAAGCCTTTCACGCCTAATATCAAGGCAAAGGGATTTTTAGTTAATTCGAAACGAACTTCGACCAAAAATTGTAAATTATGTAAATCGACGCATGAAATTTATATGTGTGAAGAATTTAAAAATTTAGCTGTAAACAAGCGTTTTGA